TGTCTGCAACCATCTTTTGGGAACAGCCCCTAATCAAAAGTGGCACAGACCTACTTTGCAGAACTTTGGTATAATAGTCGCCCCTCTCTCTACAAACACACACTTGCACACGCACACACTTTGCGTGATGTGTGGTGTCGCATGAAAATGTCAAAAAAAACATTTACAATAATTGCGCGTGCAAGTATTCACACTGATATTCAAACACCCCCACCAGGTACAGTTTTTATATTCTACTCTAAATGCCTCATATCTTTATTTAACAAATAGTCCGTTTTACAAGTTATGTTAAAGTTGACAACTGTTGGCTGTAGATACGTTTGTGTGCCTAAAACTAAGAAAGTGCAAAAAAAGTTTTTAAATGTAAGCATCTCTAATTATTTATTTTGAGGTTATAATAAGTGTAAATTTGTAATAAACACAACCTACGAATTAATTCCCGAATTATTAAGCATGTTGTTTTAATATTCGTATTTCTCATATATTGACAAATGTAAATAAATAATTTCTTATCTCCTAAACTTTAAACATTCACAACTACTATACGGTCTTTCCCCAGCGCATGACAATGACAACTGCATGCGCGCACGCGGGTGTTCTCTCTTTCTGTGCACAAGCAGACAAAACCACAGAGGTGGTTCATTTACTTGGCCATAAACCATTTATTTACCTTCAGGTGAGTGTCGCAGAGAGTGCAGAGTAAAGATCGCAGCAAAGATTTACACCTGTCTCTCTGCTCAAATAGAGAAGCCTATAGCCTACAGAGATGGCCACTGGAGCCAGCTTGTCTGGGGCTCTGCTTGACAGCCCGACCCCCCCCCCCCTTCTCTCCCTCACTTCCACCGTGGATTAAACAACATCATAAAAAATGACCATCAACGCGCACACTGTAAACAGATTACTCTGCTCGGCGCCTGGCTCACAAACCCCACGCTAAAGGCAAGACGCGTCCAGCAGCCACGTGTTGCAGCAGCGAGGGCGACGCTGCTCGGTCATCCCTTTTCAGCCATTTACACGCGCGCGCGCGCACACACACACACACACACACACACACACACACACACACACACACACTTCTCTGGACGCTTCCCGGTAAATACTGGCGAGTGTTTGATGTCCTGGCCTCTTGGGAGGCTGCTGAGGGACACATTAGAAAAGTCTCCACACTTCCACTCAGAAGATTCAACATGACAGCTTGTTTAATCTATCTTTATCTATTTAAGGATGCACCTTAACCTCTGATATTTTAGAGATCTTAATTGGAAATATCTAACATGTCCTACCTGAGCATAAATGTAATCCCTCTTCATAAATACACACATGGACTATACCAACTTCTTTTGACCCCTGTTTTACCTGTTGCCTTGTTTTTTCTCATAACTGTTGAGGGCTGATTAGACACTCTGCTATCATGGGTGTTACAACATGTCGAAATATCCTTAAAATACTCACATTTCCCTGAAGTAAGGTGCTTGTACAGTTGTACAAATCCATTCATCAAGTTCGAACACATGCAGTGTGCATTATGCCTTTGGTAATCCTGAAGACCTCCATTTTCACCCCTGTCCTCCAGCATTCTCTATGCTGTAGGCCCCATCTCACAAGGTTGATATGTCTGTATTTTCTCCTGTATCACGTGTGTCACATCGCCTGCTGGATGTTCACGTGCAGGTAACAACTGCATGTTATTGAAAGCTAGATTTCCACAGGTTACACTTAGGGTTTATTACTTCCTCTAATTCATTTACAATTATTCTCTCCTTCCTTTTCTACACATTAGCACATTAGTTAAAGTAGTCCATGCTGAGCATATAGTGTGTTATGTCAGATAATAAGCTTTTATTCATGTGTTAAAATGAAGACAAAATGTGTGGATACAAATTCAGCAGGACAACAATGAGAACTCACACAATCAAAAAAGAAAATCAACATCTATTTTCTCTTCCAGGCATATGCACACATTTGCTTTCTTTCTCTCTCCCACTCACACTTACACTTGCACACATTGATGCACAATTTACTGGCACATCACTTTGGTGGTCACTCCATTGCGCCCAGTGGTCAGCTGGTGAATTTCATGCCCTATTGATGAGAATAATTACCCTTGGTGTGATTGTGGCAGTGTGGAGATCCTGCCTGATTTCTGCAAATTAAAGTCTGAACATGCATGTTGTTCTAAATCCGCTCTGCAGTTACTCAAGTCTGTCAGCATCTGCATGCTTTGCTCCTCCATGAATATATCCTGGATTTAGTCTTCTAGTTCTCCCTGTTGTCTTCTGTTGCTAATCTGTTCAACTGCTGTGCGCTGCACTCTTTTTCTCTCTGGTGTTTTTGTCAGTGAGGATGCTGACTCACTGATTGCAGAAACGTTTGTCCAATACTTTATTCTTGAAATATGGGCCAAGACAAAAAATGGGTCATGGGCCCCCTTTTTAGTGGCTCTTTGTGTGACAATGTGAGAGTGTTCAGAGGAGCCTGGGTCACAGGGCCAGAGGGATTTCATTCAAATTAGGTCTGAAGTTTAAAAGCCCCCATATGCCATTGTAACTAACATTATATCCCACAAAATAGTTTATTTTAGATAATCTCACCCGCACATTATACAATACCAGCTTAAAAGGTGCCCCTCAATGTGTACGACAATGGTTTGTTTTAGCAAAATCCCAGTTTAAGCACACTAAATAAGCATGATTGATTATTTGCTGAGTGAGCAGGCATAGATCACAATTATTAGTCCCCTCTGGTAATGGAGCAGCTTTTAGCTTTAACCAATATATAGACGTCTCTAGCGGTAAATTATACTGAGAGAGCACAACTAGTGTTTTGTTGTGAAATTTTGAATAAGGGTTGAATAGTTTTATCAATATAGCTGCATCCTGTTGTTGCAGATTCCATTGAAAGTTATTAACAGTCCATCCCTTAATCATCTGCTCATTCAACTCCTTTGATGTGTGTATGTTATTCTGAGAAGGAGGAGGGGGGAGGGGTCTATAGCGAATGTGCAAGTTGGAAAATTATAAAAGGAAGCCTTCCATCTAGTGCAGCCATAAGGGAATACAGAGAGGGAGCAAATCGAGAGCGGTGATTTCCAAAATGGCCCGGCCATTGAATGACAATAGCCAGGCCCCTCTGCCTGTCTCTCTTTCTTTCACTGCTGCAGACTACAAAAACTAACATAATAAAGTGGGCAGAGGGAATGACCAAATGTGATTTGTTATGATTAGAACAAATCATTGTGATTTAAATCTGGCAGGAAAAATGTCCATAGTAACTGAATTTGTAGTTGTCTGATTTAGTGTGACTTGTGTCCTTTTGTTTGTTGTATTTTATCATGTCCAAAACTGGGGTGGTGGGGGGGGGGGGTCCTCCTACGGTATCAGCACATGTTTTTCAACCACTGCTTCTTCTCTGTGGAATCCCTGCCGTTCCTGTCAGTGAGAATATATACACTTAAGTTTATCTTATTTCTTAAAAGATGGCATTCATAAAAATACATAATTCAAACATTTGAGGGGGCACTGGCAGGCTGACACAGCTTTAAGAGAGTTAAAAACTGATGAGCTGTTTGGAAAGGCACAGCACATATAAAGAGTTAACTTGATTTCAACAAATTAATCTTGAAAAATCTGATTATTTCCCCTATTGAAATGCTAAGCTGGTGTGCTGTGGCAGAAGTATTGACAATCGTATTTTCCTCCAGGTCATGTCTTAGTATTTCCATAGCCACACTTTCACTGTCAATACTTTTTAGATGATTTCCCAGAAATAGAGATTTTGTAAAAAAAATTCTAAACTCATTATCAGTGTACACTTAACAGTGTTTTCATCATTCCTCTAATATATTGCAGAGTCTGTGAGCAGCCCTACATATTCCCTCTTCTGTCAAGGAAGGGAACATTTTTTTCAATAAATAATTCACCACTGATAGCCAGCCCTAATGTCTACATGAACAAATCTCTCAGTTACAGCCATCTTGGGAGTAAGCCAGTCCAAGAGCGTACTTAATAAACAAATACAGGGCCCGACGAGCTCTGGTTTCACTGATGTCTTTCCGAGAGGAAAGTATTTGAAGACAGTCGGTGAAACAACATCCTTTCTGTGGGTGAAGGTTTAGGGGTCAGGTGTGGGTTATTGCTGCGGGAGCGAGTGGTCCCGTTGCATTGTTCCCGCTGATACTCTGGATAGATTTACTGTCCATTTTACACACGGCATAATTTCAGTTTTTCTTTGGAATAATCTGACATTTATGTTTCAACATTTTATGATCTTGCACCATTTAGTGGGAATTAAATGTCAAAGGATCAAAGAGCAATATAAAGCATAAAATATACAAAAGAACCAATAATGTTCCTTATAAGTATATCTCTACTGTGCATAGAAACTGGCTGTTTGAGCATGTTTTCTCTGTGTCCACTGCTAGGACCAGGGGCTGAGTTAGTATCACAGCCTCACATCGAGCACATGTTCGCTGGGACTAGAAACATGATCCAGACATGATTCCCCTAACCCGTTCCTCAGGGTGAAGTGTGTGTGTGTGTGTGTGTGTGTGTGTGTGTGTGTGTGTGTGTGTGCCTGCATCATCTCACGGAAATATACTTGTCATATACTACAAACTTTTTTTGAAGCATGAAAATAAATTTCTATTTTCCCATAATGTTTAGGGTCACACGATAAGGGTCATTATTTTTGCCCAGTTTTGGAGGTAAAGAGACAATGTTGTCTACTATATTTGGTATGTTCAGATCAGATGGAAGACATGACTTTTATTTTTGTACAAATTAGTACAACAATTTCCAGTGTGTTCAGGCTTTGTGTGTATTTGTAAGCAAGCACAATCAAGTGTATGTGTGTGACTGAACGTGGTTGTCAGACAGTTATTTAGCCCATCTGTGTGCATGCTGCAAGGCTCCCCACATGAAATATTCAAGGTCCAGTGAAAATTGATCTGCTGATCTGAAGTCTGTTTCTCCTCTCTCTCTCTCCTTCTCTGACCAGATCCCTATGGAGCTGCCTCGAAGAAGGATCCTAATATCATATATCAGTTAGATGACCAAGTTCAGGGCCTGCTGCTCGACTGCTTCAGCTCAGCGCCGGAGCTCGGATCAATGGAATACTGTTGGGGATACAACGGACCACACCCACATACTGATCAGACCCTCTGATTGGATATCACATGGATGTCTTGACCACTGCCATGGCTTTCATGCAAATTGATGAAGGTAATTTTAGCTCCTTAAGTGAAATTTGATTTGCGTTAAGAGCCCTTGCTACTTTCTTCTTAATGTAAAATGGTTTTGATTAATAGTCTGGGAGGCTATGGAGAAGTATTATCAAGTGAAACAGTTTAATGTATCTCTTCCACTAAATTAGTGCTGCTCCTGTTTGTTATCCGAGTTCACTGCCAGTGTTTTAGGCGAGAAATACACCCCTCTCTAAAATACACGTTTATATGTGTTTACAGATATTACTTATTAGGCTCCAGATCAGCTGACGTCTAGGTCATTTAATCTGTGCTTTGGAACAGGGAGAGTTATACAGATACACCCCATAAACTTACATAACTTAAACACATTTAAAGCCAAAAACCCAAACACTCAAACACAGAAACTAAAATGTTATTTGCAAACTAGCCCTGCTATACCATTGTATCCACCTATCCAGACTGTAGCTGTTATGTGCTCTCCTAAATGTGTGCGACACTTCACCTCACCTCCTCAGAGCGGCACAGCGCTGCACCCTAAATGAAAAACAATCTGAGGAAACGGGGAACAATCCTAGGCAGGCTCCAGCGGGCTGCCATAAAAAGAGGGGCTGCCTCTCCAGCCTCTCCCTCATGCCTTCAGCTTTAACTCTATGGGCTGATGAAAGATCAATGGGCCGACTGGGCAGCCGCTGCTGTGCCTGCTGTCCGCCACTGCACCAGGAAGCAAGCCAATTACAAAATACCAGGAGTAAAAGGAAGAATGGGAACTGAGTGATTAGTGAAACAGTTGTGTGTGTGTATGTGCATGTTTTCTTGTTATCTCTCACATATGCTAAGTTCAGCCCACTGCAGCTTATTTTTAAGAAACGTTGAATGCTTCCAGCCCGTGGATCATATTCCAAACTCATTTTGACCCTGATCTCTCCCTACATCCCCCACCTTTCCTACCTCACCCTCTTTAACACCCCTTTAACCCTCCACCCCCAGCCTCCAGGAGCCTCGCGCCAGATCTGTACCAGCTAACCAGCCCCCTAGATCTACGGCAGAAGTAATGGGGGTTGGCGCTGAAGTTTGGTGCAAACACGCAGCAGCAGACAAACAAATCATGTTAAGTCCCTGCTGCCACGGCTGGCAGCACACTCAAAGGGGAGCTGGTGCCCTGCCAGGGAGGAGGGTGCATCCATTTTCCCAGGGAGGGGGTGAGGGTGAGGGTGAGGGTGAACACGAGGGAGGGTATAGCGTGGAGGGGAGGCCTGGTCGTTATCGAGCCCGGATCACAGACACCTCCGCCCCTCCTGGCAGGAATGCATACAGCCCCTGTGGGAGGAGAGAGGGAGAAGAAAGGAGGAGGAAACCAGCAGACATTATGAGGGGAAGTAAAAGGGGAAAGAAAAGAACGAGTGAGGGAAAGTGAGTGACTGAATGAAGGAGGGACACACACACACACACACATGCACAGAAAAAGACCTGCCCAGCTTAGGAGAGGGAGTGTCTCTGAACATACACACAGACAAAAACACACCAATCACAGCACTCAACACACCCTCAGTGGATTGAGAGCACCACTGGGAGAGCACATTGGAAAACAAACAGGACATTAGGCTGCTTAAATACCATTCTAACCATGCAACTGTGGTTATCGTTACGTCAGTTCAGTCACAGTTTCAATGCGAAGTGTGTCACTGATGACAGCTGAGAGATCCGAAAGCCAGTAGTGTTGTTACATAAAAGAGAGGTGTTACACTTGATGTTGTTAGACCCTCACAAAATGTATTTTAAGGCTGTGTTTGGGTCATTGAGTATTATGAGGAATATCCCAGAATAGTCATTTTTATCTCTTTGTCAATAAGTGATATTTTTATACTCTTGTTTTCCAAAATTAGAACGCCCTAATCTCAAACATGTCCCCTATGAGACCTGAGTGAACGTTTTTCCTGTTGCAAATATTCCCTCTGTGCCCCAAAACAATCATAGAAAGCAGGATGATATGATATTGAGTGTTTAAAGATACTCAATTATTGGATTGTATAATATTTCCGCGGCCTCTCGTGGGAGGGAAATATTAATTTCTAAAGACTATAGAGAGGCAATTGTGATCTTAACATGGCATTCCTGCATGCGCGCTGCGAGCTCTCTGCGGTTGTGTGTCAGGGCAAAGAACAGATTTTGTCAGGTGGAGAGTGGGGTTTAGGGGTTCATTTACAGTTCATGCAAAAGCATTCCATGCAATCTTTACATTTCCATTCAACCTCACTCTCTCTCCCCCTTTCCTCTCTTCGCTCCCTCGCTTATCGCACGGCTCTTTCTGCTCTGCTTTTGAAATGCTAATATCTTAAAACGGTTATTTCTTCACTGTTGACAAAATTCACTTCTCAGTTCAAAATGTGAACCGATTTGCCATGTGTGTATTCTGCATGCTTTGCTGAATGCCAAGGGGTGATATATATATCCGTCCAAGATGAAGCTGTGAGTCACACAAGAATGTACATACTGTATCTGCTGTAAACGGATTCCTGATTACTCTTAGCTGTCTCTGAAATGCACTGCTGTCTACTGTGATATAATCAAAACGCATACAAAGACACAAAACGCTTACAGCCAATGCAATACCAGAGTGGCTAATCCCCTTCTTAACACTGAACACAACAAGTCTAACAAAGAAGAGAGAAAGAGTCGGACAGACACGCATGCAGTACTTTATTTATGTAAGCCAGAAAGTCAGTTGTTAGTTTACAACTAACTCTTTCATTTGTGGCATAATATTTACTTCTTTTTTTTTTAACACCATGAATAATTCTAACCACATGATACTTCAGAGTGGATGGATTATATTAATGATATAGTAACAAATAAAACAAGATTGTGCTGGAGTGATTTTTCTGGAATTCGTCCTTTGCTGAGAAAACACTCCTTTTGGTCAAATAGAAAAAAATAATTTAAAATATCATAATTAATCTCCATAATATTAGCATTATGATTTAATAGGCAGAACTTTTTAAAGATATCTGAGTAAGTTAAATATTAACCTGGAAGTACTTCACCAGACAAAAATAATAGAAGATTTTTAATTGTGAGCACTGTGGTAATAATGGCACACGGTAACAAATGTGTGTCTGAATCATACTAGGATAAATTAACAACTGGACAATTTTATAACAATTCAACAAGTTTGTTTAATTTTTTTTTACTGGATTTGAAGTTGTTATTGTCAAAAAAAAGTAAGAATTTTATATAATAAAAAATGCATTTATTCTACAATACCATGAATTATTTAAAAACTAATCAACAGAGTTTCAGAATATATTTGCTGTAATCCTCTGCTTCAAGTAGTTTTTTTTTAAACATTGGAGCTATTAAAGTCCAGACTTTACTGTGTATTTCCTTTAAAAGTTAAGAACAAAATATGAATATTATAAAAACACACACCCAGCTACAACATTTTGGCAGCAACCTACAGCAACGTGTTTAAGTTTAATATCTGTTTCAGAAGTACCTTGATGTAACCCAACTGCAACATACATTTCTTTTCTCAGGCGTTTTCTTCTCTTTCTTGCTGAAATGGGAAATATTCCCGTCTCAGCAACACAGCCTCAGCCTAATTCCATCTGCCTGCCTGACCAGAGTGGCAGCGAGGCTAACTTATTGCTAGCACATGTGACCGGGTGAGTGTGTGTATGTGCCACGGCCTATCACACAGTATCCCTGTTGCCTATCAGCCCCCCCCCCCCCCCTCCCAGATGGATCTCTACCTTCATTAATGCAGGCCCACGGCATGGCAAGCGCATTTCTCCACATGTTAACATGGGATGCACACATCTGCTACGGTCCCTCAAACCCTCGCCTGCTCTTTTGGTGTCCTACTCGGGGCAACGCACACTTTGTCTTTTCTAGAGGATAGGAAGTGGTGCTGGTGTTGTTGTGGCGAGGGACTTCAAAGAGGTTGGAACTTCAGTCATGAGCAAACAGAGGGCAGAACCTGGCCAATGATGTCCAATAGCCCCTCTGGGGGGACTTTAGGTCTAATTTCAGAGGTGCCGAAAGTTGGATTTTATGCCATGTCCTTTTGATCCTTTTGTTTCACATGCTTTTTTCATTAGACGGAGGCTATTTGCAATGATAATAGGGAAGTTATTATGATTTTTAAAACTTTGTTCTTGGGGAAATAAGTGTATGTTGACAGATTAAAATCGCAGCATTTGATCTCACACAGCATTCGTGAAATTCTGATATTCAAGTATACATTAAGTCAGAGAAAAACTGTTATGTCATAACTTAAACTTTATGTTTAAATTCATTATGCATTCGTTGTCTAACCTGAAGATGACGTCACCCAGGGATAGCCTATAACAGCCGGCAGTAACTACAGTTCACTTTAATATTGATGTCTCCATCCCCTTGTCTCTCCATCAGCAATATATTTAATGGTCACATTCTGTGCCTATTCAGCACAAGAAAAAACGAGAGCAAGGTAAACATGCCAACCTGAGAGCACAAGACATTAGTCTTGTAGCTTGAAATAACTGGATTGCATTTAATGAGACGTAAGTTGAGAGGGCAGACATTTGTTTTGTTCCTGACCGCATGTGCCGAATTAACTGACAAACAGTGAACTTCTCAGACTTTGGGACTACATAGTGTTCCAACAGCCATCAATACTAGCTCATGATCTGTCGTCGTTGTCAGCCAGGAGGTCGTTTAGAAGAAATGCACATTTAATGGCTTGATCCATTGTGATTGGAGTGGTTAATTGATGATCTGGTTGTAAATTTCTGTCTCATGGCTGTCACTATCTCTCCTCCCCTTCTTTCATCGTTCTCTCTGTTTATCCTTCTTTGTCTCTGCTCTTCACTCAACATGTCCTGTCGCTTGTATCCACGTCTCCCTTGATCTGTCCTTTCTCTTATCAATCGGGAAGTCAAATGCGCAGCGCTCTTGAAATATTCACGGTTGAAATCCATTTAATTGCCCAGTTGAAATTTATATTTCAAAATTATTCACATTTATGCAGTGGGAACT